GAGGTCGTCAGGGGCAGGGACTGATGGATGATGGGAAACCAAGTTTTGGGTGGGAGGGGCTAATCATTTCTGACAGCTCTCATCGTACAGTTCAGTTCCCATGATGCAGCAGGGCAGTGGTGACAATGGAGCTGATGTGGCTCACAGCTGTTCTGCTCATTATACAGCCCAGTGTTTACCTCAGGTAAAAAGAACCAGGGAGGATTCTGGGAAATTACCATCAGCCAGCTGCCATAACTTGACTCAGCATCTGGGCTGAAGTCGTCTTTCCTGCCACTTATTAAAACACAACAGCTGCTGCCGCGCTCACGTGCGGCTGATGTGATATCTGGACTGTTGTGTGTCGTGGACGAGACGTGACGTAGAATTCTGGGCTCAGCGCAGATGCTGAGTCATGTCATGACAGGTGAATGATGGTGATTTCCCAGCATGCTCTCTGTTTGTAATTTCACTGAGAGAAACAATGGGACACTGTTAATGAAGGGAGCAGGAGTGGTGTTAGTTATTAGTCACCTGTCACTTCCACTGTTACTTCAGCATTGAGAAAGTTCCAACATCGTGAAGTGCTGCTGAAAGCACAGCGCTAAAAATTAAATACCAGGAAAAAAAAAACTGTAAAAACCAAGACAACGAAAGAAAAAACAGTAAAAGTGACTGTTAACTATGATTTACTCTCTGCAAAAACATTGAGCGAGCACACAGCTCATCCATAAAGTTATAAAAGAAATAGTTAGCCATTAATACAACGGTTAAGACTTCAGAAATAAATAAGGTTAGCCAAGAAATAGCCCAAAACATAGAAATAGAGGCTGCTGTAAATTTGAGCCAAAATAAATCACTTCAATTTGTGCAAAGAACACATCATTTAAGTCATTAAAAATAGCAAATGTATCTTGTTGTGAGGCCTAAGTTGAAAAAAGGCCAAATTTTACAAAAAATTAGTCAAAACACGAGGTATTCGGTCTAAACATGTCCAGTGTCCCTCTGTGGACGAGGAGGAAGACGCTGATGTTGTGTTTGTAATAAAAGTGTCATCATGACTCACACGTGATGTCACACCCGTCCGACATGCTCGCTGCGTCCTCTTCTTCTTCTCTCACAGAGATGATTATTGAACTCTGTGATTCCGGCGTCAGTGCAGATATTTCACCTGTGGCTCAGCGGCGTAAATCAAACTCGTCGATATCGATCTCTGTGCCGCTCGTGTCGCTGTTAGAGCCGCCGTGATGGATGATCTCTGATTTATCCTGCGCTGCTCGGCCTCTGAGATGGAGAAGCTGTCGCCAAAGAATCCCTAACAAGACGCCAGAGACTGGTCACAGACACGATGATTATTACAAACACACTGCCTGGGTGTGTGTGGGTGTGTGTGTGTGTGTGTGTGCTGATGTCAGCTAACCACAGCTGCATTGTTTACGGTCGATGATGGTGGTTGGTGACGCTGCTGCATTGACTTGTGATCTTCACCCACTTCCACAGTTTGCGTGAATTGTCCCTAAAACAAACAAAAAAAAACATTATTTGTCAGAATCATTTTTTTAATTCAAAATAATTTAATTCAATTTACGTTTTTAATCTGCGCTAATGGTTTGGCCCAGTAAATGACTAAAGGTTAGCCTCTTGAAAGTTTGCAGAGTAAACAAAATGTTATGTTTGATCTGAGGATGTTAGAATTATTTACATCCAATACCAGAGTTGGAATTGATACTATTGATGTTTGGATCAGTCCTCCAGGCCCTGAAGCCTAGTCTGACGTTCGCCACACACTGTTGTCCACATTTATTATTTACTATCGGGAGCCAATCGGGAGCCAATCGGGATGTCAGTTAAATTCTCGATTCTGAGGATGGAGGCATAATAAATAGCCCTTCAGGTGAGGGCAGCTTTGTGCTGTGTTAGTATTTTTATTTGTTATGTCCAGTCACTGATTTTGAAAGCTAATGCAGGAAATGTTTTGAGTGAGTCACAGGATTGGCTTTAAGAGAGAGCAGCAGCAGCAGTAACAGAAGCAGCAGCCTTGTGTTAGAACCGACAACCCCGCCCCCACCCCTCCCTCCTGTGGGTCACATGACTCGGCCTCTCCTGGTCTAACTCCTCTGCAGTGAAATGTCTGAATATTTAATCACTTTTTATTGTTCTCCATTTCATTTGCTTTTTTTGTTTCTGGTCAAATCCAATTACTGAACACAACTGCTTCAACAAGGATGTCCATTCAGAGGCACTGTACCGTGGAGAACCCGTTCAGGAACCTCTCCTTTATTCTATTTGCATTTCATGAGGAGAAAATCTCCACTGAGCGGTTTCATGGCCCTCTTTCACCACCAGGGTGACGGATTAAGGAGTGAGCTGCCATGTTTTAAATCCTCTCATGCTGCTCCTCCTCCTCCTCCTTTCCCTCCTCGGCCTCAGTAACAAACCCTGCTCAGGCAGGAGGAGCAGGGTCTCCTGGACTGGTGAGGTTGTCAGGATGCCCCTCCTCCACCAAAGGAGGGTTTTGTCTCAGATCCAGTGACTGTGTTTGAACAGCTTTGACTAAATCCTGTTTGCTGACATTATTTATGCTAACCATTCTCACTGTCAGGAATGTGAAGCGTCAGTTGTTTGGATCGTCTGTGAAACATCGCCCCCACCTGCTGAAAACACAGAGAGTGAGAGAAAAAAACCTCAAAACTGCACCACCACCCCGTGACCCAGTAAAGGTTTATAATTAACTTGGTTAACTTGACTGTGATGCGGGTTAATGAGGACTGGTTTAAATTACAATACTTTTACCAGTGGACTTGATTTAGGCTTTGTTTCAGTCTGGGTTTAGCAGCAAGGGGGCGCTCCCCACACAACCACCCCTGTCATGACACGAGTGAGTCTTACAGTCAGATCTGTCCCCTTAGCTTTCTGTAAGTGCTCTGATTGGATGCAGATTGGGAGGAAAGCCCTGAGTGGACCCTGACTCAGCCGTTTGTGAATCATGACTCCATCACAACTGGAGCCGCGGCAGATGGACAAATCACCTGAGTCCACACTTGTGCTCCTAGAACCAGGCTTTTCTTTTTAGTGTTAAACATTTCTCATGAATGTGAAAGTGTAGCCGTTGAGCGCAGCCATCTGTCAGAACCAGAGGTTGGTCCAGATTTCACCTCTGCGCTCCAACGAAGGCTAATTAAAAATTTTAATGGCAGCTCGTCTTTGAATAATTCATTCAGGTGCAGGGGTGTCTGTAGAATGAGGGGCGGGGGGCTGCTTGTGACATTTTGACTCGTGGCTGTCTTGGCCGTCGTCAAGCTTTGTGTTAGAGGGCGACAGAGAGTACATGAGGTTAATGTTGTGTGACGTGACGAGTCATGACTCCAGGAGACTTCGTCAGTCCATTTGTCAGCACAAACCTCCAGTCGGTCAAAATCTAAATGTGAAACACTGTGACATTCACAACCGATGTAGGCTAGGCTAGGCTAGGCTATGCTAGGCTAAGCTAAGCTAATAAAGGTAGACACAACCACATCGACCAGATCATACACACCGTAAGGCTCCGTGAGTTGACCTGAAGATACTGTTAGCTTGTTAGCTCAGTTATCTGAGCTGCACTCGCTCCTCAGCTCAACTAAATAAAACAGAGATGTGGTTTAAAACCTAAAAACCTTCATAACCAGCACTTACAGGATCGCACGACCTTTTAATGACTTTAATCAACGAGTGGAGAGAAAAAGTTTAAAGGTGATTTAAGGCGGCAGCCTGACACTTGGCCCCCAGTTGTAATAACGGTGTATTTGTTGTCATGATGCAGCTGCTGCAGAGCCGCAGGCGCTCACTTAACAACTCTATTATCCTGCAGGTCAAGCCTGGCATTGTTCTGCTACACTCAGGTTTTACTGCAGCGCTGATGGGAGGACGTATTTCCCATCATTCACAGGGAGAATAGGGTCAGGTTTAACACCGGCAGTCGTACAGGTTTACAGCAGCAGGAGAATAAACCACAGCATCATTAGGTTTAGGGTATTTAAATCTGAACTGAGGCGTTGAGAGACAGTTGATGGGACGTCAGGTGTCAGTCTGTGTGTCAAAGAGTCTGTGTCTTTGACAGTGAAGGCGACGTTTGAAAACGACTGAGTTGTAAAAAGCTCGGAGTCCAATGATGCGTTACAAAAAAAAACAAATCTTATCAACGCTCTGCTCCAGATGGAACAGTGGTGACAGAATCTGTCACAAGGTTCAGGAACTGATGTTTTAAGCCTCAGTTTAACTGAAAGTGTTTTTTTTATCAAATATCTCCACATCATTCTTAATGTTATCCTATGAAATAAGGATTAAAGAGATCTGACGATGACTCAGAGGCCGCACAGAAACTAAAGTTGCTTTCATTGATCCTTGGATATTACAAGAAAGAGTTAGACGTAAAAGGGAAAAATAAAGGTTAGTGACAGAACACAGTTCCTTCAGTAAGTCCAGACATGGTTAGACGCTGACTAAATGTAGCAGAAAGAATTTAGGGTTTTGGACCAAGGAAGTGGGCTGGACCCAAAGTTTTTATATTCTTACATTTTTATGTTAGTTTTTCTTGTTAATTTGTATAATTATAGCTTCAACTGGAATAACTGTCAGTTTTGTGACTAACAAGTGTAAAAACAAACTGTGAACACCAGCTGAGTGTGTGTGTGTCATCACTCAGTGGAGTTTTAGTCTAGAGTTTTGTTGTTGTTGGTTTTTTTTTTATTTCTTCAACTTTATGGGTTCAGGTCTGGTCCCAAATGAGCTGACTAATCACAGTCCTGGTTGGAGCTGCAGTAACTGCAACAACACACCGTGGAGCAGAGTTACTGTTACTGATGAAGCCATTTTACAGCCCGTTTGTCTTTATGGCTGAGCACTGGTCACTGGAACCCTGAGCCTCATGTTCTTCATTAGAGAACCTGAGATGATCAGGAACATGCTCCGCGGAAACACTCTTCAGCGCCTCCCTCTGACAGTCATCATTATTACACTTACTGAACTAAACAGTATTTCCTAATACTTTACTAATAATATGAAATATTGAATATTAATATTTGACTCTGTCCAGTGTGTAATCTGGTTCTATCCAAGGGACAATAGAAGACAATTTATTCAAGATTCATCACAAAAACCATGGGATTATTCTCTGAGATTAAAATGTAATAGTTTTATCAAAATAAAACAGAAACACTGGTATAAAGACTTGTTGTATTTAAAGTGATATGCTGACATCCACTGTGGGTACAGCTTTGACTGTAGGTAACACTCAGAAGAAAGATGGACAAGATAAAAAAAGAATCCTATTGTCATTATAATCACTGTATTATTAGAATGGATATTCTGTTCTTATTTTCACTTTTCCACTGAGAGTCAGCCTGTCTGTCTGACCTTGGCTCTAACAGCAGGGGGCGCTCAGAGTGACATCAGATCTGGTGGTGTGCCAGTTTCTAAAGCCCTCGTGTGAAACACTTGTGTTTGACAACTTGTCACTTTGTTTTGGCAGCGATTCAAATATCATAGACTTCCAAGATGAAGTTTCACCTTGTAATTATGAGATTAAAAACCCACTCAGTGCTTCCTCTGCTGGTTAGATCTGCAGCTGTAACCTTACTCCGCCTCGGTCCTGGTCTGGGTCTTGGTCTCGCTCCCGCGGCCTCAGTCACTCTGCTTTCAACAAGACATTAATCTCAGTAGGACGAGCCAGTTAAATAAAGGTTAAGTAGATAAAACAAATGTGTAATGTGTCCTTGGTGACATCTTTACCCATTAAATGTAAATGGAGAATCAGCAACTCCTGAGCGTCTCCTCTTCCTCCTCTTTCTCCTCCTACTGCTCACTGGATATAAATCGCCGCTCCGAGCCTCGTAGGTCGTCGAGACTCCAAAGCTTCGACGCAGCGGTGACTCTCTGAGGGGATGAATACAATCGGTTTTAGTGTGTAATTAAACTCCCAACACCCCCTCCCCCAGACACACACACACAGCAGAAAGGGAGACTCACTCTAATTGGTCTGGCACCGTCTCAAGAATGACGCTGCCAAACTTTCCCCGGACCCTGGACGCTTAGTTTAGTCCCTGATTCTGATCCATATTGACCTGAACAGTTCTGCTGCTTTGTCTTGGAACAAAGGAGGGATTGTCAGAGGGCAACAAAGAAAAGAAGTTCTGTTGGTACTGGGCCTCGGACTAATGGCTTCGATTCATTTGTATCAGTCAGAATTTTCACATTTAATCATAGCCTTTCTCTCAACTCCCAAATGTGTCACACGCCTGAGGTACACACTCCAGTCTATAGGTGGCAGTGATGCACTTAAAGTTTTTGTTTGCCAGCCCGAAGAACAGGACATATCGACGACGTCATAGGACGTTCGAGTGAGAACAGCCCCTACACGCTGTTTTGGAAAGAAAGTCCACTATCCCTGAAATCTAGTTGACATCCGATGTCACTACCTAAGCAATATATCCCATCACGCATTGCAGTTGTGACATTAAAGTTAATGCTGATGCAGTGACCACAGTGGTCTTCAGGTCTACGCCCACTCACTGGTCAGTGGGAATCCCCACTCTGCTGCTCTAACTCTAACTCTCTAACTCACCCTCAGCTGATAGGCCACACTGCTGCTGCTGCTGCTGGATGCAGTCCAGTGGGGGCGCTGCTGTCCAGCCGGTGAACCTAACAAATTGCTCAGGTCCAGAGCCTGACAGAGAACTCTCCTCCATTCATTTTAACAGTTGTACCATTTAATTAATAAAGTGCAGTTCAGCGAGTGTGTGTGAAGATGTTTACAGAGATGAAGTCACAGCAACCTGAAACGCAGACGCTGAGCCGTTCAAGATTCTGACAGTCTGGCTGCAGTTGTTAGCCTTTGATAAAAGTTCAAAAGCAGATGAAAGGAGTATGGTTGTTATTCCAGACTGTGGCTGCAAACCAACGGATCTGAACCAGGGTTTGATAGTTTGTGAAAATTCTAATTGTTTCACACAAACTCACCGTAGGGGGCAGTAGTGAACCAGCAGCTCCCGTGTCACTAAATATTTCCTTATAGAAGAATCATACTTCAATCAGAGACAGACGTTGAAAACTTGACTGTAGTTAAACCACAGACGGTTCAGACTTTTCCGGACTCAGGGATTTTCCCAGACCTGGATGGTTTGGTCTGGAATTTTTAGTCTGTTAGGAGATAAAGGCGGAGCCAGGAAAGTTGAATGTGCAGCCAGGATGTGGAAAAGATTAAGTGCAGGAAGTGACAGTAATGAAGATGGACGTCAGAAGAAGAGGCTGTTTGTCCTTCACGGCTGCTGTCGCCCGCTCTTTGTGGCGGCAGCAGCAGAGCTTTTGTTGTCCAGCAGGGGGAGATCACTGTGAGTGACAGCAGCGTTGGCAGCTCGATGGTCGGACCGTCAGCTGTGCTGGCATTTCATTTACAGACCTCCAAGACCAATCAATAGACAGACAGTCAGGCCTGAGAGCACCACGGGGGTTTTACCAGAGGGTGGGGGTGTTAGCCATCACCTGACTGAGGAACTGGTGTCCAAACACAGGCAGGGGGCGCTGTCACTGATTAGCAGAAGAGCCAGTTTTCCTTGTAATAAAAACAGAGGTGGGCTGTTGGTGGAGGCGAGGGCTCATTTCACCAGGCTGGAGGGTGGAGGTGGAGGGTGGAGGGTGAGGGTGAGGGTGAGGGTGAGGGGGGTGTAGCTGGACTTTGCCCCTGTTCTTCTACAGGCTGGTGTCTGGACTCCTGGTGGTGAAAACCTTAAGTGTAATTTTATTTGAACCAATCAGGCGGCTGCAGTGAATCCTAAACTTTTCTGTCTTTATAACTTACGTTTCTTGCTCTGATTTTCTCTGGTCGTCGTTCAAACATTAAAAAAAACAAAACAAAAGAAACATTTTATCTAAATATCTTCCTCATTGTTCTTGTTGTTGCTCGTAGTAAATCATCTTCTTCCCTGGATCTGTTTTTCTTCTCATCCTCTCTTTTTACCTTTTAGTTACTTTTTCTTTTTATTCTCTTGGACACTTGGTCCAGTACTTTAGCATTTTGGTCTTTTTTGTTCTAAATTTGTTCCCTTTTTTCTCTTCTCTTATTTTCTCTTTATCTTCTTGTCTTTTTAATTCTTTTCCCATGTTTTTTTTTTCTGTTGTTGTTTTTTGCTTGTTTTTTTTCTTTGTTTCTTTTTTTAATTGTCTTTTGTGCTTTTTTCTTCCATATTTTATCTTTGAGTCTTGTAAATATTTTCACCACAGATTTTGGGTCCTTTTTTGTTTTTTTGTACAAAAAGACTTAAAAAAACAATTCTTCTGGGGAAATCAACAGCAGCATCAGTTCATTTTTTCTGAAGGAACTCCCCTGAGCTGCATGTGGTATTCTTCTTCTTCTTCTTCTTCTTCTTCCTCTTCTTCCTCCTCCTCCTCTTCTTCTTCTTTTTCTTCTTCTTCTTCTTCTTCTTCTTCCTCTTCTTCTTCCTCTTCTTCCTCCTCCTCCTCTTCTTCTTCTTCTTCTTCTTTTTCTTCTTCTTCTTCTTCTTCTTCTTCTTCCTCTTCTTCTTCCTCTTCTTCCTCCTCCTCTTCTTCTTCTTCTTCTTCTTCTTCTTCTTCCTCCTCCTCTTCTTCTTCCCCCCACAATTTCTGATGAACACCCGCACTTCAACTCCCTATTTCCCTGACACAAATGAAGCGTGATGCCTCCGACAAATAATTAATTTCTTCTCGGCCTCTACCTTCTCTCCTCGTCTTCGTCGGCTCTGAACCCTGAGCTGGAGGTTCTCATCAGTTCACTGAGGTCGCACCAAATCAAAATGTAATTGGCTCCGTGTTGTAACTTGTTTTTCCACAATGAGGAAGAGACTGAGTCAGAGAATAAACTGGTTCCTTTATTGCTCCCACAATGCACCTCTCTCTCTTTCTGTCTAGCTACTATTTTATTTTACTGGATTATTCAGAGCAGGACAGTGGAACAGTAAAATGTGTGTGCATGTGTGTGTGTGTGGATGAACGTTTTCTCTCAGGAAGAGGTCAGTTGTTTACACTAACCATTGGTGTGAATGTGAGTGTGAATGGACCTCATTAAAATGTCTGCACAGATGCTAGTTGTGGCTAACAGACTGACCTGAGTTGCAGCAGTGATGAGCGCCCTCTGCCTGCCACACTGATCACCAGCCAGTGCGTCTTTGTCAACAGCTCTGTCCTGTTGACAGATCAGACCTGAACCCCGGCTCCTGAACACTTTCTCTTTTCATTAACACTTTAATTTTGCTGCTGAAACTAAATCAGCTCGTCCACTCCTGCCTCAGCTGGCCAGCGTTTCCCAGTATGCTTTTGGACAGCCTCCCATCAACCTGTCTGAACTCATTCTGCTGCTTTTAATGTGTCAGCAGATAAAATGAGGAGAAAAGTTGTGTTTGTGTAAATTTAGAGGCTGTGTCTCAGAAGAACGGGCTTTAATAAAAAAAGTTGTACGAAGGAAGTGAAGGCGACGACATTGACTCATTAAAATAACGAGCTTCTGCTGACGGTGACCTCATCAAACACACACACACACACACACACACACACACACACTTCTATCGTTTACAATCGGCCAAATCTGGAAGGACATCTCTGCTCCATCTGCAGCAGAAACAATTTACAACCAGGTTTATTTTCTCTGCTGGTTATCAAGAGACAGACAGAGGACAGAGAGAGACGGAGAGGACGCGGAGACCAGATCACATGGACCAGACACAGTGTGTTTGGACGCGCGGTGATTTGAGGCTCCATCTCCTTTTATTGAAAAACAATAGAAAAGTTTAGGAAGTGTTGGACGGCAGGTCTGTGAGGGACAGCTGCTGTTGTCTTCTGTTTGAAGTGAAGCTGTATGAGGTGCTGAGCGCCTCCTGCTGCTGAAACCAGCCCGAGACACTGGCACTCTGTAAACACAGCAGCCCGCAGGGACACAACTCTGATTGTAGCAACTTCCCTAAATTTCAGCCAAGAAAATGTTTGTCTGCTCAGGTGGACAGTGTCCACCAGGAGAGGGTGAGGAAACAGCGCCATCTTCTGTTGGACATTGGCGCAATAGAAGACTGGGGTTTCAAACCCTCGCCTTTTGAAACGAGTGAGCCCTGTTTGCTGTCATTTGAAAGAAAAATGTTCTTTCTGGACTTTTATATGGGATTATTGAAACACAGCATGAAGACATGTCCAGGGCGTCGACCGACTGTGGGATTAGGAGATTATGGTTGTAATCCACCGCCCAAATCTCTCAAATCTAGCACAGAAGAGATAACTGAGATAATAAGTAACTTCAAAACAGTTATTTTATCATTTTTGCATTTAAATATTTAGTATTGATTTTCCTCATTGACACAAACTGACCACAAGAGGCAGCAGTGAACCAGTTTAATGGGCTATAGTGGTGAAGATGAATTTTTCACAAATCTGTTATTTATGTATTAAAAACAGAGAAACACGGATCAGATCGTCCATGGAACCTTCTCCTCCTCCACCTCCTCTCTTTCCTCCTGCTGCTCCTCATCTTCTCGCCGTCTCTGTATAAATAGCAGCGTTGGAGGCATTTTGAAATGAGCCCAGTTCTGCTCACTGCAGCAGATTCATCCATTATGTAGAAACCTCACACACACACACACACACACACACACACAGAGACACAGACACAGTCTTTGACCAGCCGTGGGTCAGTAAATCATGATTTATTTAGATTGTGTGTCCAGATCATTGTAGCTGCATGGCTGTTTGAAATCCAACACACACACACACACTCTTAACACACACACACACACACACACACACACACACCTTGCAGGCTGAACCGTGCGTCTCAACAGCTTGTTGCTCTACATCAACAGGGACTGTTTAAGGTCAAAGGTTTCACTCTTTCAAATATCTGAACAAATAAATAAGAGCAAACAAAGTGTGTGTGTGTGTGTGTGTGTGTGTGTGTGTGTGTGTGCAGAGTGTAAACACCCAATGGTGTGTTTGCTCTTTGGTTTAACCTCAGAGGAAACAAAGTCAACACAGCTATGCGGGGTTTGTTTACCGCAGTTCTGCAGAGAGCGCTGGATTCCCACAATGCACCTGGGGCACATAAAGCGCTGCCCCCCCCCCTCCCCCCCTCCTCTGGAGTCTGACACTGAGAACTCTCAGATTTTCAGCACTTTTTCTACAGAACTCTAGGTCCATTGCTGCCCCCAGTGGTCATCGTGTGCCGGTGCCAGTGTGTGTGTTTCTAACATAACTGTTTCAACACTTGGCCACAGGAGGCAGCAGTAGAATAGTGGCACCTGTGGATCTTCATCATCTAATTTAGTTTGGTGAATATTTGAGTTAGCCTGGATGAATTGAGTTTTTCTTGGCAGTCATGTGACTGTGTGTCAAAGACGCTGATTGTGTGGTTTTCAGGTTTGTTAGCATCGTTTTTGCTGCTGTATTTCCTAAAGAGTCGTCTGTCAGACTGAAAACAGACGCTTCCTGCTGTTACTGTTTTTGTTTTTGTTTTTTTTTTAAACATCAGTCTGCCTTAGAGTTTATGATGTGTTTCCTCCCCGCAGACGTTTAAACATCTGATAAATACAGTGTTTATGAAAAACTGCTGCTGCTCCTGTCGTTTGTCACAGAACAACAGTCGGTTTTAGCCTCATGTCAGATTTCTGCTGTTATCTTTCCTCCGGCTGCTGAAGTGAACGACTGGAAACTTTACTTGTGCACAGGAATACAGGCATTAATATTCACCGTGAAACAATATGGTGGACGAGTGACTTTTTACTTTTCGTGGTGTCCTGTTAGCTGACCTGCTATGGTAACACCACATACAGTGAGGCATTAATAACAATAAGAAGGACATGGTCATGGTGAAGGTGATGATGATGATGATGATGATGATCTGCTTTGTGTTTGAAGTCGGCGTATAAAAAAAGCCTCTCACAGAGAAAATAAAAATAACCTGAAGAGTTTTGTGGTTTGAAGTCTGAACCTCAGCTTTCATCTTCCTCCTCCATCTGAACTCTGGGTTCTCATGCAAAGTAAGAACATTCTCTCAGAAACACTCTCTGTTTTTAACCCACAAACACTTTAAAACTTCCTTTGAAATAGACGAGAGCCAGGAGCTGCAGAAAACCTTGTGTGTTTTTTTCCTTTTTTCTCCTCTGTAGCTTCACTGCTTCTATTTGTCCCACACTAACAGCAGACGTCTGAAGTCTGGGGCTGCTTTCCTCCTGGTGCAGTAAAAAAAAAACACTTCCTAAAATATGACAACCTTAAATCCATTTATTGGTCCCGTTGTCTTTGGTCTCCAGCTGAGTCAAGGTGACACAGCACACTTGAGTGGTGCCATTTAATGCATTAACTCCCCGTCCTCCTGGAGGGACCAGCCCACACTGTGAGGACCAAAATGATCCAAAACTTCTCTTCCTCCTGGTGCAGGTCATTGCTTGGCCACACGGGGTCAGTGTTTGCGGGCAGTTCTTGGATTATAAAGATCGTGACCAAAAATAAAACCTTGTCTAGCCCTGGCCTCAAACCAGTGGAGGATAATTCTAGTCTTTCTCTCAGTTGTGAGTTTAAATCCTGTGGTTGTTTGATGACGAGGCGATGATAATAGAAAGAAGGCGTGAGGGCGGAGACCATTAGTGCTAACGACGATGTCTTT